GGGGGGGAGTGCGCAGACGGGACCCCCCCGGTGCCTCCCCGGGCCGTAACCCGCTGCGGGAGGTTCAGCTCCACCGGAGGGGCGGATAAAAAGTTGGGAGTCTGTTTTATTGCTCGCAGGAGCTCTTTCCCACGCCATGTTTGAGCTGCGCCTTCCCAGGTTGTAGGTATTTACTTGTAAACCTGTTCCTTGGCCCGAGCGCGCGGGGGGAGTTGAGGGTTGCATATTCCTCAGGATTTATTTGTATTTCTTTGTGGGTTTAATTGCAATACTGTGCCCTGGAGGCTCATGTAGGAGGGAGCCAAATTAATAGTAATGGAGCCAGGGAGATAAAAGATAGTAGTTTGTGGATGAAGTTTGGTGGCTGTAAGATTCCAACAAACGCTTCCAAGCTTAAAAATGGAAGCGCCGCTCGCTGAGCTGGGCGATGCGGAGCGCTGTCCATTAAAGCTATTGGGAGGCGGTTACACCCTGCAGGCCGAGCTGGTGAAACTGAGATAAAATGAAAATGTGACGGAGAGTTTCACGCAACTCTTAAACACAAAAGGAAAATTGCTGATTTCTAAGTGTCGTAAATCTGAGGAGGGTTCAAGCTTCCCTCTGATGTGGTTTGGATTTAAAAAAAAAAAAGTCACTGTGTCTGTTCATTACAAGCCTGATTTCCGTGGCTGCAATTGCAGTACAAAGGCATTCCTTTCAGGTGTGGGGAACTGCTGTGCGGATCAGCTTGCAAAGTAAAAGCCAGGAGTCCTTGAAATCTGAGCATAAATAAAAGCTGTTGGATCGCTCCTTAGCATCCTCTTGGCGTTTATGTCATTAATGTAGTGTGGGTAGTGTGACATGTAGAGGCTGAGTGACCGTGTTTAGAGTAACGTGTGCTGAGGTGTGGACTCATCGTGAGGAATGGCATGCTCGCAGCCAAGCAGTCCATGGGGCAGATTCTGTCCTATCCTGACTTCCTCAGTGCCACAGTCTTACGCAGCGGAGCCCCGTCCCAGGCCCTGTCTCTTGAATATTTGCTGCCTAGCTTCATGCCATCGCTGCTGCCAAAAGGAGTCCACTGCTGCTGCTAATCCCCACCTTAGTTTTTCATACAGAGTAAACACAAGTTAAGCAATGTGGAATGGGTGTAGGTTTGCATGTCACTGACTCAGAGATTCCTGAATATAGTGACTGATGCCGCCTCCTCGCTGTGAGCTGTGGATACCCCAGCGTCAAACCTGCTACGCCTACTCCAGGTGATGCAACCCCGAAGTAGGAAGAAGTTCCATTACATGTGTTGCAGATTGTTTATTTTATTTCCCATGACTGAGAGGACACAAACGTCTCCAGAACAGGTTGAATGTCAAAAAGTGGCCAAAACGTAGTCAGGGCCAGGCGCTTCCGACAGCCTCCGAAGGCGTGTTTCCCCATCCCTCCTTCCAGGAAACGAAGCTGGCAAAGCACAGGTCTTACTGGTGACCGGCTCTTAGCAGGCAAGTCCTGTTTATCTAGCAAAGAAAACACAACTACAAGCACTTCATTTTACTTTAATTAAATGCATTCGGGTTAGTGATGCTTAGTAATCTAGGATCAAAGACCTTGTGATCTTTAATCCGGTTTCTCACTGAGTTTACCTAGTGTCTTGTTTAATATAAAACTCTCATCATTGCAAGTCTCTGAACTACTCTATCGCTGCTCCACAAAGCTGTCTGAACCCAAACTCTGATGTTGCATTGGCCTTAATTTTTGCTGCTTACTCGCCGAATGTGGGGTCACCCAAGGGGTTATGCAAAAATAATAATTTTCTGGCATCTCAGCTGTCCTGGGGACTCCAGCAGCTCCTCCTCTGTGTATGGGCCCCTCACGGGCAGGGATGTGTTCAGCTGTTGGTAGGACCACACTAACTGAATTGCAGGCTGATTAGCGTTTTGAAAACGGAGAAAACGTCCTTTTTGTAAAGAATCCCTTGTAGGGGGAGAAGTTTGGGATAAGGGAGAGGAAGTTGTGGCTGACTGTAAGGACGGCGATAGGATGATGGATACTCCCAGGGTAACTTGTGGTGTAGATGGTGGGAGAAAGGAAAAGCTTACATGTTTGCTGGACTCGGTGGCATGTTGCAGGGTTGTGTGGAATTCATCTGCCTTCAGACCCCCAACTCCAGCAGAGGCTGAGGTAGCTGGTGCCCAGCCCCTGGTGTGGTCAGGTTCTTCATTCCAGGTGTTAATGCAAGTGCTTTTCTTCTGTGGGAATACACACACGCATGTTTTATCTCTCTTTTTTTTTTTTTAAACTAAACTCTGTTTCTGAGGGAGCTTCTTGCCTGACCTCTGCCTGCCCAAGGAGGGCAGAGACTTAGTGCCAGCCACAGCTACATGCCATGGCAGCCCACGATGGGTTGGGGACCTCTGTCATCAGGTCTGGCAGCGTATGGAGGGCGCAGGCTGCGCCTTGGGCCAGCGAGGGGCCGTGCGGGAGCAGGGACATGCAGGAGGGAGCGGGGACACTGGCTGGGGCCATGGCGGTGGCCGGTTGTTTGCACAGTCTTGGGGACTGGGGCACAGCCGGCTCCTCGGGCGGGCAGTCCCGCTTCAGCGAGCGCTGCCCTCGGGTTTCGGAGGTTTGGAAATGCAGCCCGGCCCCTCTGCCTGTGCGCGGAGCTTACACAACCTGCACCTTTCTGCTCCTCGCCTTTTAATTGCTGTACTACACTTGATAGAAACTGTTTCTGCACTTCATGCTTTAGTGCGGGGTCGGGTTTGAGAACTGCTTCCGAACTTCTTGGGGTGGTGGTGGGGGAAAGCTGTTTACTTCTTGGTGTTTGCATTTTGGGGTGGAGGGAGAGGTTGTTTGCTTCTTCCTTCTCACTGAAACCACTATCGAATTCTGTTAGGTGGGAACACTCCTGCAGCATTTTCTTTCTGATCACAGCCATTTTGCAGCAGCTCCACCCCTCCCTTCCTCAAACCCTCGTTTTTTCTTTAATGTTGGTCTCCGTGGCTACCAATTATTTGTGTGTCTCCTCCCAGCCAAGGTGGGGTTTACATGCTTCAGTGCTTCTGCTTGTTAATTCATGCTGTTAATCAGACACAAAGAGCGTAATTAAACTAATTTTATGAGCTTTATTCACTGTCAGAAATAAACCGGCCCAAAAGGTGTGGCTCAAGGTAAAAGCACAGGGCTGGGAACCAGGAGTCCCTGACGGCTTCTCCTTCTTGTAACGCCGGGGCTCCGTGACTGCTTTCTGCCGTAGTGTCTCCATTCATAGTATTCCGTGGGAAGACATTCAGAGCCTTTCTCCGCAAGGCAGGCTGCAGTGGGAAAGCCTTGTGGCAAGCACGATTTGTCCTCCAGTGCCAAATGCATCAGTGGTCAGAGACAAACTGGCCCAGCAGCATGCTGAAGGATGCTGCGGGCGCTGGTGGTGCCTGTCCACAGCAGGGAGAGCAGCATGGCACTTCCCTTAGCTGCCAGCAGAAAATGTGGAGGGGAAACACGTTCTTGGGAAGCCCCTGCACGTCCCAGTTCCATCGCTGTGTCTGAGCGGTGCAGCGAGGAGTTCCCCTCCGCTCGCTCTGGTCCTGCTCGGCACAAGCCAGCGGGCGGCCAGGAGTCAGGGGCACCTCTGCTGTCCCTCTCCCCTGCGTAAGTGCCAGGGACCTGTTGTCGTGATAGGGTTGAGTGAAGAACCTGTAATTAGTTCTGTGGTTTGATGCAGCTGCTCTGCCCCCAGAGCGGTCGGCAGGCGAGGAAGGGCAGAGGCTCTCCCTGTGTTTGGCGTGGCTGGTGGTCAGAGCCCGCTGCTGCCTCCCCCCTCGATTCCAGCCGCTGACGGATCGGCCGAGGTCAGATCCTGCCCGCGCTTATCAGCTGGTCTGTGTCACCTCGGCGGGCACCTGCCCTGGACCCACCTCCTGCTCTCCTGTGGGTCAGAGCCTCGTGGCACTATGAAGAGCTGATGCAGTTGCTCCTGAAGCATTTTCCTTCTCTAAACTTAATCGGAGTGGGGAGTGAATTGAGTGCTTGTGCTATCTTTTGACCCTCCTGAGGTAAATTTAAGTTAGCTACAATTAGAAATAAGCCTTTCGGAACAGGCTTGACATCTGTGCTCTCTAAACTCCAGTGTCTGGAGCTCTGGGAAGGGTCTCTGCACCTTGCGGGCATGTGCCAGGGCTGCCAGCGCCTGCCCGGGGGTCCCGCTCACCTGGGGCTTTTATCCTCCCATCTTCAGCTCAGCTCCAAAACACCCAGATGCTCCTCAGAATCTGATGGGGTTTGCCCATTCCTGGGAGCTGATACAGCAAATTCTTCACAGAACCCTTTAAAATTAGGTGGTATCCAATGTAGTTTTTCCTGTTGCCTCAAACGTAGTGCTGCTGCTAACAGTCTTCTCTTCCCCTCAGGTGATGTGATTGAAGTGTACTATGGTGACAATCGCTTTGGGACAATGACCGACTCTGGCACAGCAACACTTAAACCTCGTCCGAGAGTCCGGCCGCTGCTGACTTTCTTACCCCTTGTGAGTATCTAGCTCGCCGCTGGGATTTGTTACGGCAGCGTGTGTAACTGGTGCCCAGAACCAGCTGGGCTGGCTGCTGCTCTCATCCTCTACCTGGAGGAAGAAATTAAATGAAAAGTAAAATCACTCTATAATAACGCTGGATATGAGGGATTAGGAGGTGATCTGAGTTCAAGGCTTGTGTTGGACGTAGGCAAGATACTCGGGCGGGAGATGTAAGCATCATCCGACTTGTGTTTTCAATTAAAAAAAAAAATTGCTGAGCATGTAGATGATAGATCTGGCTCGCACTGCATTTTATCTAACCGCTACTGGCAGTATCTTTCTCTGGATCAGGCGTGTTGCTGGAGAGAGCAGGAGCAAAGCTGTGTCCTGTTTCCAGCGGGGAAGGAGGCGGCGATGCAGCAGGTGTCTGTGCAGGGGCTGATTTTTCCAGTCTCTGTGAGGGAAACCATTCCCGGCAGAGCTGCCCGTGCCTCCACAGCAGCGGGATGCAGGGGCTGAAGCAGCAAGTGCCACACAGCGGGACCCAGAGGTGGCTTTAACCCAGCCAGGACTCCATAAGCCCCACACGTGCTCATTGCTGGCTTCGACGCTGTGCTGCTGTGTGCGCTGAGCAAGCTGTCCTCCTGCTGTAGCACACCTCTGCGAAGGCCTTGTTCCCTAAAGAGTGCAGCGGAGCGCGTGATTGCTCAGAGGTATTTTGGAGACGGCAATAGCTAAATCTGAAGTGATGCACACAGGTCACTGAAGGTCAGTGAAGACAGTAGAACACTTAAAAGCCTTTGGTCTTGACAAGAAAATCCTCTCTGAGGGCAGGGGATGTTTTTCCTCATACATCCCTGTCCTTTAGAGCCGCCATCACCTACACAGAAAATGGGCTGGTCTGCTGTCACCTGGGTGCAATTAGGAGTCAGTGGGGTTGTGCAGGTGTCACTTGGAGGACAACTGTCGGGGGAGAGGGAGTTTACCTATCTATTGGAGAGCATAATTAGGAAGTTATGGGGTTACGCAGGTTCTACAAAGGAGTTCTGCCCTCCGTGATGCCTTCCAAAAGATCACAGCAGGTGAAAAATCTCACCTGGGCTCCCACTCGAGTAACCGTAGGACTGGTGCCTGAGAAACTCCGCTCTGGTAGCATGGGCTTGGCTGAGCGACCACAGCTGGCACCCCATATTACCAGGTTTTTAGAGTCTAATTGGCCTTTAGCATATTTTTTGAGCTTTCAAATTTTTTATTAGTGGAAGTGTATGTGGTAGAGGAATAAACAGCACGAATATCCCTGGGATAAATCCTAAGGGCTGTCACCCTAGCTGTGGTGCTTTCCTGCTGCCCGCAGAAGCACGGTCAGCCCTGGGGCTTTTTCCCCCCCTCAGTTGCCCTTGTGAGGGTCCCTCCCACTCTGCTTCTCTTCCAAGGGTAACAGGTTTAGCTGGGGAAATTAGTAGGAATAAGCAACATTTTTTTAAGGACCAGTCTGTGTTGGATATTTGCATTGTTTTGATTAGGTTTGATTATGATTTGATTTGGCACAGACGCTTCTGCTGCCACATACATATTTGCAGTGGGCTGTTCTGCAGCCTTAACCCTTTCTTTCCACCCACCCGCTCTGGGGCTGAGAAGCAGCTGCCTGCGTAGCTGTGAGTCAGGAGGATGCACACACCCTGCCCGGCAGCGGCCCGCGGGCTGCCCGTGCCTGGCAGCTCTCCCCACACGTAGTGGGCTCCTTCCCCACGAACCGCCTGGCCCGTGGTCACCCCGAGCTGAGTGGTGCAGGGATTGCAGGGGAGGGGGCTTCGCTGCCTGCCTGGTGGGTACCACCGTGTCCCCCTGCCTGCCCGGTTTCCCAGGCGCTGCAGGCGCAGGCAAAGCTTTGGCATCCTGGGGGAATAAATTCCTGTAGCTAACCACCGAACTTCCCTAGCTCTGCTTCAAAACAAGGAGTTTGGGGGTAGCGCTTCAAATTCAGAGAAATCCTTGGCCTCTCTGAGGTCGCGGGATGCTAAGAGGATATGTTTTGGTGCCTTTTTTGTATGAGGCAGCCTCAAACCTGGGTCATTTTCCTCCATATGAGGAAAGGTTGAGAGAACTGGGTTTGTTCAGCCTTGAGAAAAGAAGACTCAGGGGAGACCCTATCACCATGTTCCAGTATTTAAAGGGTGGCGGCTACAAAAAAGATGGAGACTCTCTTTTTACAAGGGGTCACATGGAAAGATGAGGGGTGATGGGTACAAGTTACTCCTGGGGATACTCCAATTGGACACAAAAGGACAATTTTTCACAATGAGAACAATCAGCCCTTGGAATGATCTCCCCAGGGGAGCGGTGGATTCCCCATCACTGGGCACTTAAGACTCAGCTGGACAGGGTGCTGGGCTGTCTTGCCAAGACCGTGCTTGTGCCAAGAAAGGCTGGAACAGATGATCCTTGAGGTCCCATCTGACCTGGGATTCTATGGTGCTATGATTTAATGGGTGGGAAGCGTGGGCTCCTGAGAGACTGGGGAAGCTGGAGCCCGTGAGGATGGGCAGGCTCCCCTTTGCTGGGCACAGGGGGTATCTAACTCTCTTCCGGCGCTGAAAAGCGATTCCTCGTGGTTGCAGTGAAAGCTCCCCTCAACGGGATCCTCGGCACACACAAACCCGATGTAGGTACCGCAAACTGGAAATGCCGGTTCCTGGCGCACCACCCCAGCAGCGCAGCAGCCTGCTCTGAATCAGCTGGAGCTTTGCTGGGCTGGTCCCACCCCCTGCAAACCCGGCAGAGGCAAGCAATCTTTCTAGTCATCTCTGGAGACTGGCAGCGTACTGGAGATGCTTTCCATTTTAGAAGCCAGCTCATGACGTGAGGATGGGTGGTTTTGGAGAGAGATGCTGAGCATTAGCAGCTGCAACAGAAATTTTTGGTGTGAAACAGGCTGGCCCAGTTTTTAGGACCTGTTGAAATAACATGTCCAAAATTACTGCTCGTTTATGAAATGCGGACTCTGTTTCCTCCGGCTTTGCATAGATCTCTTCCGACTGCCATTCCCTTTCTACTCCTATCCAAACATGTGATGCATAGGTTGCTTTTAATTCAGTGCCCAGACATCTTTGTTTCCCTGTAAATGAGCAGGTATCCTCAGTGTGCTCTGAAAACTGGCAGCAATGAATTTCCATAGCAAATGGGAACTGCTGGGGTTTTTTTCTTTGTGTGTTTTTTGTTTTTTTTTTTTTCCTTGGTATCTCATTGCTCTGGACAATTTCATTATCGGCTCTTGAAGTGCCTGTGGTAGCCTTTGTCTCCCCTCTGGCTTTCAGCTGAAGTTAAGGATCTTTCCTCTGCATTGTACTGTGTCTTTGAGACCAGTGAAGAGATCTTAGATGAGGCTGTAAGGCTCACCTAGTCTGGTGTTTTGCCACTAACAGATCTGTCCTAATGCCTGCGCAGACCTTGGCTTCTCCATCAGCACCAAGCTGTGCGATCAGTTGTGCAATGCCAGGAACGTGAGTTCCCACTCTCTCTCCTGGCTCACCAATAACTGGCTCATTCCCTTGTGGTTATAGAGGATCTTTGGTCATCTGCAGGGTGATGGACTTTGCAAGTGAAGCATGTGCACTTTCTTATTATTTTGTCAGAAGCTGGGGGATTCCAGGGCTCTTCAGGAGCCCAGGCTGCTGCTGTTGATGTGAGCTCTGCCCCAGCAGCTTCAGGGAGTTCCTGAACCCTCTGCACCCAGGGCGGTGTGTAACACTATTGTGTTGTCTGAGCCCTGGATGGGCCCGGTGATATAAACCCGGCTTGACCTTTGGTCAAGGAGACTTTGGAATCCTATAGCAATCTCTTGTAAAAATAGTGATAATGCCAGTGAAAGGCAAAGGGCAGGGGCTCAATCATTATCTCGGCTTTCGTACACAGAAAAGCACGGCACTGAGCGGTGCAGGCTGATGGTAGGATAACGCTTCCTTTGCACAAGGGGCTGTTAAGAGCCAATGCAAACAGACGCCTGGGGTGAGGAGGAGTGCAACAGGGTGGACCCTGGAGCCTGGGAACGGGGCGGTGTGTCCCCGACCACTACCCATGGGGTCTGTGAGCTCCTGCTGCTTGTGGAATGTTATTTCCTCGCTATGGGTCTCTCCCAGCGCTGGTATGTGAAAGCCCAGTCCGCTGTTGCAGTCACCTACGTCTGTGCTGACAGCCTGATTCAGCATCAGTTTGTGTTTCGGACATGGGTGCGTTAGTGTACGTTTCATGAGCAATTCCAGTCCCTCTGCAGAGCAATCTTAGCAGTGAGTCACTGGAGGAAAGGAGAGGCTTTCTGCTTCTGGCAGGTGTACGGGGCAGGAGCCCTGGTCAGCACTCTGGTGAGTCAGCGTGCCATGAATATCTCACGATGGGTGGCTGTAATTATCCAAAGTGTCCTAGCTGTAAGCATCCTCGCAAACGTGTAGGCTGCTAAATTGCACGCTCCTGTACCACCTAAACGCACTGCTGACTTTTCAGCATGAATGCGAAGGGAGTAATTGAGAGTGAAACACAAACCACACAAGTAGCAGTTTTCCCCAGAGTGTTCAGATATGCTGGTGCCAGTTTCCCAAAAAACTGGAAGTCTGTCTGCGACTTCAGCGCGGTGTGTACGTGACTGGAGCATGGGCTGGCAGTGCTTGCTGGAGAGCAATGCCCACAAAACCCATGGGAGCTATTAAATTTGCTTGGTATGTGAATGGTGAGAAACTAGCGCTGCTGACCTTGGGCTGGGGAGCCCCAAGCTTGGGTGTGACGTGGCCGTGCTCCTCTCCGGCCCCTCTGCACCTGACCAGCACAGGGGAATTGTGTCCATGACTTCAGCAACCTTGAACAGGAGCAAAGACTCATCCCCTTAAGCCCTGTCAACAGCAGCTACAGCAGAGACCTCTGTGTCTCAGAAACGGCCCTGGATGCCATCAGGCTCCTGTTTGTGCAGGCAAATCACCAGCTATGCAGGTGAGCGCCTGCTTGTCAGCGCTTTGCTCTGGTGCCCTGCGCCTACAACTAACAGCTCCGTTTTCTCAACTATTGCAGAATGCCCAAGAATCCCATGGGGTGGCTGTGCCAACGCCATCAGTGCCAGAAGACTTTGAGGAAAAAGCAGCTCTCGGTAAGGAATCTTCTCTGCTGAGTCCTGGCCGGTGCGAAGTGCTCGGCAGTACCGTGCCCTCGGGGAGGGAAGCGTGCAGGTACTGAGCTCTGGAGCAGACAGTCTGATCATGAGATTTTCATGCTAAAATAGAGTCTACTATTAATTATTTTTTTGAAGTCATTGAAAATGAATTCATTTCTAAGGGGTGAGGTGTAGTGGCTGTTACAGTTCAGCAAGCTTTAGGTAGCTGCTGAGCAAATAAACTGGCTTCCTTGGAGGATAGCTGGCCAGAGGCGATGCTGGCCATTGCAGTGCTGGCGGGGAAGGTGCTCACACAGCCGTGCTCTCGCTCTTCCTTGCAGGCTCTGGCTCCCAGATCAATGGGAACTACCGAATGTACAGCTCGGTGGGGGACCTGCGCCCACAGGCTCTTGAGAGGGAGGCCCTGACCGAAGATACCCCGCCGCCACCATCAGTACCCCCACCACCCCCTCCAGTGGCAACAGCACCTACACCACCACCTCCAGCCTCGCCGGTCCCTCCGCCACCCGAAATGCTGCCTCCACCACCGCCACCACCTGAGATGGTGCCGCCACCTCCTGCCATGGCACCTCCGCCACCTCCAGTCTCTGCCCTGTCCTCCCCCAGCACACCAGCTCCTCCAGACTTCATCCCGCCAGCCCCACCGGGTGCCTCGCAGCTCAGCCCGGCCCCGGCACCCTTCACCTCCGGCATCTCCAAGTGGAAGTCCGAGACGGTGCTGAACACGAGGCAGGCGGATGCCGAGGGGCCGCTCTGCCAGGCTGAGGCTGGGGTGCCGGCTGCCCCCGGCCCAAAGGAGAGTCTGCAGCCCAAGCACTGTCCCGAGCCCCACCTCACCTTCCCCAGGTCCTTCAAGGTGCCCCCCCCGACCCCAGCCCGGTCTTCCTCCATCCCCGTGCAGGAGAGCCAGCCCGTCCGGCAGGAGCCCTTCCCCAAGCAGCCTCACGCCCGGCCTCCCCTCCCGCCCTGCTTCACCATTAGACCCGCAGCCAAGGCTCACACTGGAGGAGAATCTGAGCAAAGAAATTCCCCGCTGAGACAGGCGGTTGCGAAGCCGGCTGTGCCGACCCCTCCACCCCTGAGCCCCAAACCAGGCCCGGGGCTCAGCCAAGGGACAAATCCTGCCGGTCACTGGTCCCCACTGCCAGGCTCTGAGATGGAGAAGGTCACCCAGCCAAAAACAGCCGAGAGAGACTCTCCTCCAAAATCTGAATCTATTTCTGCGAATGACCTGGACCTCCCCCCTCCAGACTACCCCACCTGCGAGGACGACTGGAGGGACGCCGGCAACCTGAGCAGACTGCGGCACGAGCTCTCGGCCCTCCTGTGCTCCCCACGGAGGGAGGAGAGGCCGCCGGAGAAGCCGGCTGCTCCCCAACCCACGGACAGCAGTACCAACTGCACCGGCAGCCGTGAGCCCAGTCTCAATGGGCCCCAACTCACTGGACCTGCTGGGAAGGACACACGGTTACCCACGGGAGGGGAGAGCGAGAAGAAAGAGGTGCCCAGCGGCCCTCCCAGTGCCAAGGGAGGCTCTCCCAGCATGGGGCTCCCCGCTACGGAGAGCAACCCCGCCACGCAGACGCGCAGCGTGATGAAAATCAGGAACGAGCTGGAGGCTGTGCTGTCCCTGAAGAAAGAAGGGAAACCTGCCCTGGGGCTCGGCAGCCAGAAGCAGGGCACCGAGAATGGCGGCAGCACCCCTCGTATGAGGAAG